CCACTGCATTCCAGTCTGGGTGACAGAGTGAGACTCCAACTCAAAAAAAAAAAAAATTTAGTTAATATTTGTTTGTTGCCCACCAGAAAGCAACATTCTATTAGGCATGACAAAAATAGCATTTCAAACAAAACACTGTGAGACGATATTAAAATGACCTTCACTTGTAAAAATATGCAATAACTACATAACAATCACAATTTCCAAATCTGAAATGCTGTTGATCTTTCCCATCCTTTGTTTAGATTTGAACCAGGAAAAAAAAATTCCTATTTCCAGTATTCCAACTGGCCTTGTTATCTTCTGTACAAACTCACCTCACTACCTATGTTCTCTGTCGCCAAGAATGGAACCATTACCCACTTGGGTCCTCAAGTCAAAGTCCTTAAGTCGTGTTTTACTCCTCCCTATTCCTTACTCCAACATCCTATTAATCACTACATTCTACTGACTCAATCATGTAATGCTCAAAATTTCCCCTTAGCCTCCACTTTCACAGCTACTTCACTAATCAAGCTATCATCATGTGGCTAGCTTTCAGTCTTGCCCTCCACCAATCCATTCTGCAACTTGCAAACTGTCATTCCCTTGCTAAAATACTGCAATGGTTCCCATTTTTCTCAGAGTCAAATACAAACTGCTTAACCTGACACACACATGTCCTTCTTATATGGCCCCTTTAGGCCCTTCTGGTTTCATCTCACTACTATGCATTCTAGCTCTACTGAACTATTTTCATCTCCTCAAAAGCATCACACTTTCTCCCATCTATGACCTTATTGCAATGCTGCGGTTCCTCTATTCCATTACCTGGCTAACATCACAATCTCCAAAAAGCCTTCCCAGATCTCTCAGGGTCCTTAACATGGCCTCCTGTATTGTACCCATGATAGCACTATGCACTTTCTAATAATTGTCTGTTTATTTTTTTCTACTATAGGCCAACCCTAAAAAAGAGACTGCATCTATATAGTACAGTTGTCTTATAATCCTTAATAACTACTTAAATGTGGCTACATGTACCTTGCATTAACAATCAATAAGTACTTGACAAAAAATGGTGCATTAATAATTGGATGGATAGGTAAGTGAATAGGCAAAGTTTACTGAGAGAAAGGATGAAATGGAACCCTATAGAAAGCATGAAATGGAACTTTTTAATGATGTAAAAACAATGACTGAGAAAATTAAGAAGAAAACTAATGCTGGTAAAAGATGAAATTCTGAGCAAAAACAAGAAAGAGAAGTTGAAAAAATCAAAGAAAATTTTAATCAAGTTGTGTGAAATGTGTCAAGAAAACATTTTTAGAACAATTTGTAAAAGATGTTAGAAATTAGAGCACTGGAGAACACTGTTAAAAATGTTTTTAAGATGAGAAGTCTGGACTTTGTCGACAGAGCAGTGAAAACCACCAAAGAACATAAAGAGGATAAATACTTGAGTAGAAATTCTTAGGAGAGAAGACATAAAAAGACTCAAGGATCCAAGACAAGAAGAAAGAAATACCTCGCCTGAAGAAAGGGAGGAAATATATCAGATAAAATGCAAGCCCATTTGTTACCTAGATGGTTCTAGAAGTTACTTCCAGATGGTTCTAGAAGTTACTTATTGAAAAAATATGAGCACTAATGACACTAACTACCGCGGAGTAGACATAAGAGAGTACCCAAAGAACAAAGATCCGTATTATTTTCATAGTATTTATCTCATGTTTACTATAGGCCAACAATGATCTTGAAAAATATGATAGACAAAACAGCCCAGAAATCTGATATAGACAAATGACCTTGATGGTCACTCTGGTGTGATCACTGCTAAGAACAGAAACACTGCACAGGACATATGCCATTGCCTTGGTGTTTGATTAAAAGAACAGGACAAGAGAAAGGAACTCTCACTCATTACTTGTGAAAGGCAGTTAAACAGGAAGGGAGAAAAATAAACATTTTAGGACAGCTTACCACAGTAGAAAGAGAAAAACAAAGCAAAAATTAGGAATAAGGATAAAAATATAATCAATTAATATCCAAGTGTTGGGATAAATAAATAAGATGGCCAAGGAATCAAAGAAAACAAAATAATCAAAATAAAAGATACAGACAAGACTTTCTAACACAAGAGAAGACAGGTTTGTGCTTAACTTTTTGAAAATCCCCATGGAACAAACTACTTTCTGAAAGTGACTTTTTTTAATGAAGAAAATGGCATGTATGTCTGCAATCAACATTACTAATCAACATGGTTCTTGAAGTTCTACATTGGCCAGGTGCATATATGCAAATAAGACAACTGAAAAGGAAAAGTTATCATTATTCACAAATAGTATATCAATATAGTGAAAAAAGCCAAGAAAGTCAATTTTATACCCAAATACACATGTACACATAAACACATATGCATAGGTGCAGAAGAAAGGTACCATACACAAACTACAAGAAAACCACACAACTCTAAGTAATAGTCTTGATGAGAAAGATTTAAATAATCCCTCAAAGTTTTACTGAAACACAAAAAAGGAACCAAATGATAAAAGAAAGACTGCATTTCAAACTGATCATTGTTCCACATATTGATTGAAATGACTAAAATCTTACTGAAAGAACAAATATTAAAAATGAATATTAATTTTAAAGTTATAATAACTGGAAAAATTTCACTACACTGGATGAAAAAAGTATGTAATACTTTGAAATGGAAATATTATATTAGTTAAAAACTAATGGTACAACAGGCAGAATTAGCAAAATTAAACAAATATGAAATAGAAATTTAAAGTTACTATAAAGGAAGTATTACCAACCAATTAGAAAGGGATAAAATTATTTAATAAAAAATACTGAAAACATTGGCTGTCCATTTTTCTCTTTTTTTTTTTTTTTTGAGTTGGAGTCTCACTCTGTCACCCAGACTGGAGTGCAGTGGCCGCTCCTGGCCACCACAGCCTCGACCTGCTGGGCTCCGGTGATCCTTCCACCTCAGCCTTCCAAGTAGCTGGAATTACAGGCGCGCGCGCTACCACGCCCAGCTAATTTTTGATTTATTGTAGAGATGAGGTCTTGCCAAGTTGCCCAGGCAGGTCTCGAACCCACGGGCTCAGGCAATCCACTCACCTCAGCCTCCCAAAGCACGGGATTACAGGCTGAACCACCAAGCCCGGCTGGCTGTCCATTTTTCAAAGATGAAGTAAAATAAAGCTAATCACTATTTCCTAGCTCAGGCTGCACTAAAAAATTAGCTTGAAGAGTGTTTAAAAAGTGAGGATGTAGCACTCTACTTTTTCTACTGAGGCAGTTATACAGAAGTTGTGTTAAGTTGGTGTGTAGAACCACTGAGCTACGGACTTACATAATACACATCAAACTAAACTTCAGATACAATTGACTTCTAAATGTAAATTTTCAGTCAAAAAACTAAAAAATTGCAGTTGAAATGTACACACAATCTCACAGTGAAAAGTTAACATGCATATGAGCAATAAATGAAACCATAAAAAGACTATAAGATATAATTATATACAATTAAATTTTCTACATATCAAAAACACCATTAACAAAATTAAAGGGCACATGAAAAGCTGTGATAATTAAGCAACAAATAAATAGAATAAATGACTAATATCCTCAACATAGAAAAAAGCTTTTTAAAATAAATAGTAATACCATGATAGAAAAATGAGCAGTACAGGGGCCAATAAGGATAGGTAAGAACATTCAAATCTCACTGATAATCAAAGACATGAAAACAAAATTGAGATGCAAGCTCTCATTGTAAAATTGACGAACATTTTTTAAAAACAATAAAATACCTGCCAAATGTTCCAAAAGAAAGACACTTTTAAAAATACTTTCACAGGGGTATAGTAACCGATTTCAAAATATAATCCAGAGCCTTAAAATATCATTATTTTTCAAAGAAATTCGCCTTCATCTAATGATCAAGCCTGATGAAATGTAAGTATGGATAAAACTGTATGTAAAGGGATATTCTTTAAATGTACAAAGAGATAATTTTTTAAATCTATACAAAGGAATATGCCAAAGGCTATTATTAAAAAGCTATCTTTTCAAGGATTGGTTAGTTACATGACATATATAAGCTTAAAGAGAAAAATGATGAAGCATGTGGTGCCTCATTTCTGTATGTTTGTCTCAAGTTATTCAAAGTATTATTTTGTGTCACTCTTCCTCTCATACAGAACTTTATATTGAGTTATTTCACATTGTATTTGGCTTTTCATCACCTTCACAGCTACTGGCAAAATCTTCTGTTTTTATTTCTACCTATTAATAGGGCTGGCCAAAATCTAGTAAGAAGACTCAAAAACATTCTTTTAAACAAAGGGTCTGGGGTTATATATGGGTTCTAATTATCTGTAGCTATCTCTGTCTTCACTCACTAAGTGTGTGAAGAAAGTAAACATTAAGAAAATCCTTTCTAACTTTTTAAAAAATAGACACTATTTAGATGTTAAAAGTTAGAAGTGTTTCCATATATTTTAAGACATTATGTTGTAAATGATCATCTACATGTAGTCAGTTTTCTCTTTCTTTAAGGAACTATATTCATCACAATTTACTAAACAGGACACATTATGACAAGGGTATGAAACATATTCTCATTAATCTCGTACACATGACCCTTCCCATGGCCCATGAACTTATAGGCATGGTTTAAAAATTAAATTTCATTTATACATACCCTTTCCGATCATTGTACATTCTATTAATTCTGTCCCACTTTGCATTCAACTGAGTAAGTGTATCCCTGATCTGAATGGCTTCAGGTCCAGAGGCTTCAAGGATAACATCTGGTTGCTTTTCATGAATGACTGCAATCTGCTCTCCAAGTTTGTCCAGTTGGTCTTTAATATTCTAAAAATATATTGTCAAGCTTTAACAAAATCCAACAAAGTATTAAAAAAAAGAAAATCACTTATGACCAAAAATTTATGATAAATAACACTCATTTAAAATAATAATGAGGCATAATAATGGTTGCTCATGAAAACTGGAAACTTTTTTTAAAAAAATAATACCCCATATTGGCCAAAGTGTGAGAAATACTACATTATACACTAATGGCAGAAAAAAAAATTCCTCACAAAAGTGGCATTTGTACATGACATATGAAAGCTTTAATAACATTCTCTAAAGGTAATGAAGGGTTTGAAGCTGGAATTATTTATATTTTCAAATATCTAATAATGCTAATTCAAATGACAAAAATGAGCTCTTGAGTCTATAAATCTGTCAGTAATTTTAATTTTATATATAAATATAATGAAATTATACAAAAATGCCTTGATAGAATATAACAGTTTAATTAACTTATAATCAAGATGCCATTCCACACCTCAACAGTTGGCCAATCTTAAATCATTATAGATAGACTGATAAATGCCATCATTTAATACCAATTGACAATCAAGCTCATAAGACAGGAATACAGTCCCTGATTATTTTTTAAAAGGTTCTGAAATCGCAAATAATAACTATGCACACTTAAAAATCCAAACCTACATTTTTAAAAATAAAAATGTTTGATATTTGATTTGAAAACCATAGAAAGGGTATTATTCATACATTAATACTAACTCCTTGGCACAAACTTTAAAAGGTATAGACCTTTAGCAACCCTCAGTGCCTGTTGTTCCTATCTCTATGTCTATGTGTACCCAGTGTTTAGCTCTCATTTTTTAGTGGGAACACGAGATATTCAGTTATCTGTCTATCATAATTCACTTAGAATGATGGCCTCCAGCTGCATGCATGTTGCAGCAAAAACATGATTTTCATCTTTTTTTATAGCTATATAGTATTCTATGCTGTATATATACTAAGGCAGGGGGGATTGGGGGTTGGGGCTGATAAGCCACCCATCAGGTACCATGCTCACCACCTGGCTGGGCAAGCATGATAGAAGCCCAAACCTCAACATCACACAATATACCTATGTAACAAACATGCACATTACCCCTTGAATCTCAAATAAAAATTTTAAAAGATATAGCCTATCTAAGTAGGCAAAGAAACAAATTCTTGCTTTATTTCTATATTAACTGCAGTCATTCAAATGCAGTGCCTGGAGGTTTACCCTCAGAGAGTCTTCTTGAAAAGAGATATCTTCATAGACAGCTGTGTTTAGCTCTGGAATATTAAGCGATAATTCAACATCATCCATGGAAAGTAAAATTTTGTTAATTTCAACCAGATAATCTGTGGGAAGAAGTGATGTTCTAATTCCAGAAGCAAGTTGACCTGTTTTCCTCTGTTGAATCGGGATTGCCTACAAAAACATTTAAAAAATAATAATGCATATATCTTAAAATATTCCCACAATGAGTAATAACAAATTGAAAAAAATTCAAGACAACTGTGTGAAGGAATTCAATACCATGGGTCAAAAAAAAAAACACTGAGTGTTAATGTTTTATATTTTAAACCTGCCTTGCTGCAGAAACTCTTCATTCTAATTTTCATCTGCAGCCTGCTGTTAAACAGCATAAATACATTACGATATGAAAGGCTTTTCTTTAAGACCTATGTCATCCAAACTCTTTTAGCAACAGGAAACGTAACAGCTCCTTTCCTGAATTGTTGAGGGAGTGAAAATATACTGCCAATCATAAAGTATGAAATAAAACATTTTAATACCATTATTTTATCCTTTTTAAAATATCACAGTTTAAACACTCTGGGCTTCATAGTTCAAAATTTAATAAGTTAAACATATTTCCACAACATAACACAAGAAATAAAATGGGGTTTTGATAAAAATGATATCCAGGTAATTCAGCATATAATCTTCACCTTTGAGAAGAATATTACAGAGCATGAACATCCTGCATGAGACAATAGGTCCTTAAATGCTAATTTCAAACAGACCTGAGGCTCTATGGACTACTCATTTGCCCAAATATAGGTGTTCTGGATCTTCTATTCAGAGCTTTCTAAACAATAAAGTACTCTCTGGGATGGACCACCAGGCTTTCAGGAGTTCGAGCCCTTTACTCCTCGATGGCTGCAATTTAATAAATGCTGTCCACTACAAATACATGTTCATTCAGTTGGTGATCCTGAAAATGGTTACAACCCCTAAATGAAACCAAGACTCATAACCAAAAGCATCGAGTCAATAACATGGTGTTGAACCTAGACATCTGTATTTATTGCCTCCCAGAATTTGTTAAACTATGGCTTTCTCCAATTGATGGGTTGTCCTAGATAGCTAGGTTCGAAGCAGGCCAGCAGATTTCCTGATTTCATCAACAGAATTCATTAAACTTGTCTTTAATATTAATTTTATTACCCTAATACCACATGTTCAAATTTTAGTCAAAAAGCATTTCAAGATATTTATTCATATGTCTAGGAAAGCAAATTCCATTTTTTAGGAAAAATAAAGGAATGCTGAAATAATGTGTCTACCTAGGAACCAATTTTCAGTAAAAGAAATTTTTAAAAAAGAAAATAAAATTAAAAATAATCTTTTCAGATTTTCATTTCAAATGGCCCAATTATGGGGGAAGATCTTAAATAAGACTTAATTGCTCCTCCTGTTACCTTTGAGGAAAAAGAAAATGATCCAGTGAAACTATTTACAGATTGAGTAACCTTGTTAAATGAATAACATTAAGAAACTGGGACCCATTTTCCTGCTTGGCTTCCTTTGTATTAGCCAGGACTTTGCTGAAAGGTCATCTGATTCTCCGAGACCAAAAAAGGCTCTAGATATTCAACTAATTAACTGTGCTTGTAGGACATTTAACTCTGTAGTACTTTCCTCATTTAGCATCACTGGAAATCATATGCCTTTTTAAAAAAAATCTGCTCCGTTGGATAATTGGTAAGAGCCATTTTTATACTTCAGCAACTACTACAAGATGAGAAGTTCCATGTTGCTTCTTCAGTCATGTTACAGAGTGTCATTCTGTAAAGCCACATGCACCTGAGGCTATAGGCAAACAGGGGAGGCCAATAGGTAGTATAAAGTTCCAAGTTAAAAACTACTCATATTCTTTAAGACTGTCTCTTTCTATTTGAACTATAAAGACAATCCATGATTTCTCTGAGCCTTCATATGCTTGCAGAAGCCACAAGGCAATTCAAAATTTAAACATGTGCTTTCTATTTTCCCAAAATAGATTTTTTTATTCCCCCAAAGAACGATCAATCAAAATGCCCTATGAAAAAAAATAGTGTCCTCGATCTGACCAGACTTTACTTCTGGATAATTTTATTATTAAAGAATTCTCCTAGGACACAGAAAAAACACAAGTACACTATAGGCCACTACAGAAATGAGACACTGTTACATGATGTAGCTCATGTCATATGGCAAAGTAAAGTCCAGATAGATTAAAGAATTTATTTTAAATGTATATTTTATAAAATTTTCTAAGTTTTGTTTTTATCTAACTATAGGAAAAACCTGGAACTAAACAGAATTAAAAATTCATCAACTCACTGGAGGATAAGAATTTTTCAGAATTCAGAAACAGGCACATACACACACACACAAAAAGAATTACTGTGGAAAAACATAGTCATATGTGGCTAAACAAAAATTTTAAATGGTTGCATATTAAAGTCAAAATAAGTAGATGATAAATACTAACAAGACAATATTTTATTGCATATATGACATAGTTAATATCTATATTCTCTAATTAGCTCATACATATTTAAAAACAAATGAGAATATACTATAATATCCTAGAAAACAAATGGCAAGAGATCACTTAACATATATTTTGAATAAGAAAATGAATCTGGCAAACTGGTAGGTCTCAATCCTGACTCCATATTAAAATCATCTACAGGATTATGCCTATAATTCCAGCACTTTGGGATACCGAGACGAGAGGATTGCTTAAGCCTAGGAGTATGATGGTATGACACCAAGCTAGGCAATAACGGGAGACATATTCCCTTAAAAAAAAAAAAAGAAGAAGAAAAGAATCATCTACAAAGTTTTTTGTTTTGTTTTGTTTTGTTTTTTAAATGCCTACATGTAGGTCCAACCTGAGAGAATCTAATTTAATTGGTTTGAATGTTAGCTTTGAGCATTGCTATTTTTATTAAAGCTCCCCAAGAGATTCTAATATTTACAATTAAGAAAAATATCTGTTTGAGAACTATCTGAGGAATTACATGTCATATTTGGTTTACTAATGCTAGTGAAACCAAAATAAAATGAGCCTGCTTAGTATGTGTTATTATTTTGAAAAACAAATTAATTTATATATTAAAAGTCTAAATATTATTCCCATTTTGTGCCAGTAATAATTTTTGATTTGGGACTCAAAGATAAAGAAGATATGGTCTGAACCCTCCAACACATACTAGGGAAGAAAGATACTTTAAAAGGTAACAATAAGGCAAAGAACTATAATATAATCTGATAGATGTTAGAAATAAAAATGGAGCTGAGTCTTAAAAGACAATGCATTTTTCAGGTGAGATGAAAAGACAAAACCTACTCCCAGGAATGGGAATAAAATTAGTAAGATACCAGAGGTACTAAGGCATACGGGGTGCTTAGGAAAATGTAAAGAAAAGCAGTGGGGGGAAGAAGAACATATAACACAAAGGATACCTGGTCCTAAACTAGGAGAAGTGAGGTCCAGCTGGAGGCCCAAATTTCACCTGCATGTAGACCACTTATGTACCTAATCCTGACTTGTACTGCACATCTTCATAATAAAATTAAGTTATTTAAAAGAAAAAAAAAAAGAAAACCAGTGTAGCTCTATTACATGGGAAGTGTCAGCAAATCAAAGAAGAGGAGGCCAGGGGCTGGGCTGAAGCCTTGGTATATCGCTATATTAGCAAACCTTGCGCTTAATCTTTTTCTGTATTTTGCAGTATTTTCCTGAACAGCTTCTTAGCTGAAGGGATGACATGATCAGCCATGATTGGGGGATGGAGAGGATAACTCTGAGGAAGATATGGAGGAGGTATAAGGGTAAGAAAAACTGGATATCAGAAAATGGGGCTGGGACATACGGCAATAACTCAGGAGAAAATCCTAAATCTGAATTAGGAAAAGCAGAATGAACTAAGAGAAGTTAAGTTACTTCCTAACTGTCATAAAACAAGCAACTGATAGAACTATATTTAACTTCAGGTTCAGACCCGTATCTTGCTTCATTTGGATGATGATTTTGATTCCTGCTCCATGTGGAGTGAGGAACAAGTTATGTGAGGAACAAGAAAAAGTTAAGAATGAGGTTGAGGTTTCTACCTTGAGAGAATGGCTAGTTTTTAAAGTACAGTCACGTATCACTTAAAGACGGGAATACGTTCTGAGAAATGCATTGTTAGATGATTTCATTGTTGTGCGAACTTCATAGAGTGTACTTACACAGATCTAAATGTAGCCTACTACAAACCTACTACACACCTAGGCTACAAACCTGGGCAGCATGTTGCTGTACTGAATACCATAGGCAACTATAACTCAATGGTTAAGTTTTTGTGTATCTAAACAAAGAAAATGTATGGTAAAAATATGGTATTGTAATCCTATGGGACCACCATCATATATGCAGTCTGTCATTGACCAAAGTGCAGCACGTGATAATTAATAGGAAATAAAGTAAGAAATTCAGGTAGAGGGGGATGGAGACAGCAAATTCAGTTTAACCTATCACAAGGCTGCATTATACAGATAGAGACATCCAATAGGCAGCAAGCCATGAGACTGGAATCTACTCAGATTGCAGCATCATTAAATGAAACCAGTTCTAGATGGAATTACCAAAAAACAGATCCCTGGGGAACACCAGCACACTTAAAATGCAGCTTGGTAAGATTGCCATTTAAATGGGAACCGATAGTAAATCTTATTTTAGAACATAAATCATATTATATCAGTTTCACAAATTTAGTTATGTGTAGACTAGACCTTTTTTTTCACGTGGACAAGACCTCCACATATAAAATACAGAATTGAAGGAGGAAGTCACTTCTGAATCTGATAGTTCTCTTTTGGGTTTAGCACTTAATCAGAACTCCAAAAGAGATGAGCAGTGATTAAGGTCTCACATTTCAATTTTCTTTGAGTCCTGCCCCATCAAAAAAAGCAAACATAACCATTCATACATATTAGATAGGAAGAGCTAATATTCCAACAGGTTTGTTTTAAAGCGTCAGTGTCATAACATCCATATCTGAACAGCAAGAGCTGAGTAGGTTATTAAAATGCAACAAAGTCTCCCATCATAATACCTTAATTTTGTTGTATCTTGTATGCAAAAGTAATAACTGCAAACGAATCTTTTCTTTTTCATTATCCTCCATAGGTTGATGTAACATTTGTTCTCCTCTTTGCAGAACTTCTTCAATCTGGGCTCTCTCCTCATCCATCTGAATATTTAAAGGGGAAAAAAATTAACTCAAACGAAAAATGCTGGGTCACACTTACTGACAGTTCCCACGTAGGAGAGTTAACCTACAAAGAATAGTGTAAGTCAAGATATGTTCATCTAAATGATCCAAAAAATTATGTTTTTCTTGAAACGCTTTATAATTGAAGTTAAAATATCTCAAAGCAAGTTTAGCAGAAGTTATATAACATAAAGAATTATCTTTAGCCAGAAATATGTCTATTTTTTTAAACATTACATAAATCACTTGGCAAATCTTACATTGACACACATCAGAAAAATCACATTTGGATCTGTTTCATCATGTTTGGCAGATTATATGGACAAACATTATTGATGTAAAGATATAATTAACAGAGGAAAAATGAGAACACCATATATTTGAAAATCTCCTTGAACGCACCTTTTCATCTTCACCACTGGATTCCAAGTGTTTCTCCACAACATTTAACATATTTTCTAAGTCATTTTCTAATTTTTCCAAGTCAGACAAGGGCACACCAGCTTCAAATGTTTCAGTGGCAACCAGATGTTGGTACAATAATGGTTCCTGACCAATTAGCACCTGTAGATGGAAGAGAGCCTTCTGAAAATATATTCTTCACTTGACTTCCAATCATTAATCAGAGAGATGGGTGTCAAGAGAGGAACCAGCATTTATTTGAATTGACTTTCATTTCATTTATTCACATGGTAAGGATTTACCAATTTGGTCTTCTCTGAGTTACCCATTTTCTAGCCAGGGATATGAGGTAGTATGCAAATGACCGTGGCTGCCTGGAGTGCTGTGCAGTAGAATTGGAATTCACTTGTGAGCCTAGTCAGAATGAGGCCATAATGCAGAAGCCATGCCTGTCACAGCCACAGAGAGGAAGAACGAAAACCCAGTCCCCAGTGCTGGACACCCCACAGGATGTCTCCAGGTGATATTTCCCCTGTTGAAGTTCCCTTGGATTTTGATACTCAAACTCCAAAGAAATACATATTTCTCAGCGCCACATTTTTATGTGGAAAAAAATTCATTTTTGCATAATGAAACTAAATATAACAATAAAACTAAATGCAGAAAAATAACATCCAGTGTTGGCTAAGAGTGGGGACAACAGCACTCTCACACCCTGGTTATAGTTGTGTAAATGAGTACAAGTATGTTGGGTTATTTGGAAAATCTATTCAGCAGCCTTTATGTACACAACTTTTGCAACAACTTCAAGAACTTTAATCTAGAATTGGTCCTAAGGGCATATTGAGAGATGAGCAAAAAGATAAGCATAAAAGGTTTTTAACAATTACAATATTAATAAAGGCACAATAACAGTGGGAAATTAACTTATAGGAAATTGTAACATAATATAATGGAATACTCTACAGCCATTAAAAATTATGTCAAAGTAAAAAAATACAAAACAATATTAAAATTTTGATATTCCAGTATCACATACATATGAATAAGAATAGATATGTATCCCGTAACATTTGCAGAGAATCTTTGTGGGAATAGTGGTTATTTTGTTTCTTTTTACTTCCTCTCACTTCCATCCCTACCTTTTGTGAATTTTTTTTAATACCAAGGGAAATCTCCCCTAGAACAGAACTATTAAAAATAATAAATGAGCTTAGGTCAAAAGGTAAAGCAGTAAGGTCGGGGCTAAGAAACATAAAAGCCAAAGCAGGATTTTGTTTCCTTTAAGTTGTAAATAACCTAAGTATATTTATAGACTATGAAAAATAATTTGGCCTACTATAGCAACTATTTCAAATTAAAGCAAGGTTAGACAATATTTACTTACTACAAAAAAGAGGATCTTTCTTTAATAGTTTCAACACACAACTCTCTAGAGGCTAAATTAACTCAATACTAAAAGAAATACCATCCTAGAGACACAGTTGAGATCCTTAAAAATTCAGAATCCTGTGTCAGAATTAATATCTGGTTTGAATGACCCCAAAGTCAGCTATAGGTTTTTTCCCAGAGAACTGCCAACATGTTTTCATCTTTTCACCTTAACATGTACTGAGTACTCAGTATGTTACAGGCCTTGAGAACACTATAATAACATGTTTCCTTTCTTCCCCTCAAAAAGCAAGGGTAAAAAGAGAATGAAAAAGATACACTCACAAAGAGATTAAAATCATACTATAGTGGTATACTAAATACTCTATTTAAAGAAAAGTTTTTATTTATTATCCTCTTAGTTAATTTTTTTTAACTTTAAAATTTTTTATTTTAAAGATGCGGGGTATAATTGAGAGTTAGGTATGCAAATATTCATTATGCAGGTACCCTTGTCTCTTAGTTAAATTTATAAAGTTCTTTTTTAAATTTATAAAATTGGGTAGTACATTACTAGATTAGGTCTAAATTGTGAAATTATCTGTAACTTGGATTTGTGAAATTATCTGTAACTTAGATTTGTCAACATGTAATACACAAAACAAGTTTATAGTGTGTGTTATATGAACACATATACAAATTATGACTATAAAATAGAGGGTTTAACATTCATGCCTAGCTTGAGAATTTGCTTCATTGTTTCATATCCAATTCTAGCCTTCAACCGAGTCTTTGAAAACTTTTCTCAGCTAGGTTATATTCTTCAGTACTAATTTCTTGTTTTCTTTCCTTCATATACACAATCACAAGTAAATAAGAACCAATGCTCCATTCAAAGAAAAATGATTAAATCAATCTTAATTAAAAATGTGATATATGTATTACATATTATTTAACATTTAGATACATGTCCACAGGAAAAATGGTTTTCTGTAAAAATATAATTACTCACTTTGGCACTTTTGATATGTTGAGATACCTTTTCGAAGTTCCTATTCAACTCTGCTAATTTTGGTTCTATGAGCTCCCTGCTTGAGCTTCCCCGTGCATTCATCAAAATAATGGCTTGATCACGGACATTTTCAACTTGGAGGCTGGCATCATCCAGCTCAGATATTAAACGCTAATTATAAGAAAACACAAGATTATCTCATGGAAAAAGTCAAAACCAAACATGAGTGTGATGCTTTTTCAGAATTAAAGGCAGTTTAAATAAAAATCTGGTATTCTCAAAAGAGATTTCAGCACAATCAACCAGCCTAAGAGCTGTTCACATAAGACCCACGGGAGATCTGTTTCTCCCACCAAAATAAATGTTAACAAATCTACTGTATAGGAAGGACATGTGCATAACATAGAGCATTCGTTCCACAGAGAAAACAGGACACAACTCAGTCTGCTCCCAAAAGTGTTACTTATGTCTCTACATTTGATACCTTCACAATTTCTTCCTGTTTACTTGCTGGTTTTTTTTCAATTTCATCCAACAAAGCTTCAGCTTGATAAAGCCAGGTACTTATGTGAGCCACATTTCCATCAAATATTTCCAGCTGGTTCTGATGGTTCTACAAAATAATTAATAAAATGCTTACATCATCATATGAAATATTTAAGATAATAACCTTAAAAGAGATTTAAAAGATCTTCAAAGAGCAACTTGTGTGCTGAATTTAAAGCAGGGCTTTTACCTTCTTGCAGAGCTCTTCTTCAGTGAATAAATCTCATTCCTAAAAATGCACAGCTATGGTTAAGTGCTTTTTAAATTTATTTGATTTAGACCTCAGTACAAGCAAATTTGAAATAGAATAAAAGGTAGAAATTTCTTTGTCAATTCCATTCCATTTCAAGTTTGTCTCTTATTCCTCATTCTTTTATTACAAGTTGATATTTTTTAAAACTCATTTAAGGAAGTAATAATATAAAATAATGATTAAAATGTGGATTGAATAAGATTCTGCATGCTCTGCTCAGAGGCCAGGGCCTGTGACTCTTCACCTCAGCATCTCCAGCACTTAATATTATACCTGGCACAGACCTCAATGATATTTCCTGAAGCAGGACATAAAATGTGCTTGACAGAATAGATATGAAAACAGAAGCAACAGGTAAGCAGATGATAACTGGACAAATTTGTTGAGTGAAGGCAAGAAGTTAGAATGTGACCAAAAGGGTAGGGTAGGGGAAGGCTTACGATGAAATTAACATTTAGGATCTATACTTGATGGGATAGGGGAAACTAGAAAAAAACTTAAGAATTTTAATTAATCTATACTATGAAAAAATAGTTGAAAAAATGTGAACTAATAAATGATATAAGAAAAATCTTGACATTGATCTGGATTCTAAGTAAGAATGGACAAGCACTAAACCTATCTGCCCCATCAAGCAGGTAAATGAAATGTTCTAATAAAACTAGAAATATATTGCTTTGAAGGTATAGACTGAAGAATAAAAAAGGCCCATAAGTATGTGAAATAAACCTAGTCATAACAAAAAGAAATATACAAAATACTTAATAAACATATTACGAGCCAAGAATTTCATATTCACAAGTACAATGAATATTTAATAATTCTATTAGATATATACTTCCAGTCCCATTTTTTATATATATGGAAGTTGAAACTTAGTAACATCATGTAATTTAGCTAAGGTTAAACAGATAATAAATCATAGACCTTGGATATAAATCTGTGATTGATCAAGACCTAAGTCATTACCTTCACTGCTCTACACATCCTAATTTATTTGAATAAATGTTCAAACGAACAATAATGTGAGTTTTTCTCTGTTTCTATTTATTGCCTAGTAATTCTATGAATCTGATAAAAGTCCTATCTCAGATATGCCAGAATTTAAAAAAATAACATAAATAGCCATTCTTTCTACAGCAGGGGAGGGGAGGGTTTCCATACATTCATTGTTAGCATAAGAGAGACAGAAAGCTCCTATAAAAATTAAATAGTCAATATTTCCATGAGATAATTAACAGAGTAGTGGTTATACCAAAGACAAACATACAATAATATTTAACAATTATCAAAATCATGACAATATCTAAACTTATTTGTTTTACATACAATTATAGCACTACATGTTTTAAGTCACATAATCATCACAAAAGCTGTATGAGGTATAAACACTAATAATGCCCATCTTACAGATGGGAAAACTGAGGCTTAGAGAATATTTAAGCAATCTGGCCAATGTCACCAAGCTAGTAGTAAAAATTTTTACACCAGCCATCAGATGCTTGAACCTTTGCTCTTAACTAGTACACCATTATTCAAACATTATAAAGAGTATATATAAAAATAGCTTATAATAGTAGCTAAAATTGAGTATAATATAAAATCATTTAAGTAAAACAAGGCATATTTACTAAAATATTAAAGTACATATTTCTGTGCATATTATGAATTTTTTTTTTTTTTTTTTTTTTGAGTTGGAGTCTCACTCGGTCGCCCAGACTGGAGTGCAGTGGCCGCTCCCGGCCACCGCAGCCTCGACCTGCTGGGCTCTGGCGATCCTTCCGCCTCAGCCTTCCGAGTAGCCAGAATTACAGGCATGCGCTACCACGCCCGGCTGATTTTTTGATTTATTGTAAAGATGAGGTCTCCCTGCCCAGGCGGGTCTCGAACCCACGGGCTCAGGCAATCCACTCACCTCAGCCTCCCAAAGGCGCGGGATTACAGGCTGAGCCACCGAGCCCGGCTTATATTATGAATATTTTATTCCTTAACAGAAACATTATAAATTCTATCTAGTTATTATCTTTTCAAATAAAAAATGTCTAGTGAAATTAATTCACAAGTAAAACATTACTGTGGCACACATAAAATAGGATATGGAATTTAAACAAAGCTGTATCCATTATAAAATAATTCAGGGAAAGGAGACAATTTCATCACTAAATTTTTCCTGAGACGTACCATCAAGGTGTTGCACCAGTCCTCAGTCCAGGTGCGAACTCGGCTCCATCCAGCATTGAGGACACAGAGCCTCTCTTCTAAAATAGGTTCGCTACCCTCAATCAAGTTCTGGAGAGCAGCACTACTCTCAGTGATGGTATTTAAGTCAGCTTTTCTCTTTTCCAGATCCTTCAGAACAGTCTAGAAAATAAATCACCGAGACCCACTTGATCTTTGAGAACATTATAAAACATTACACAACCTTAAATTTTTAAAAATTATTCTTTCACATATACACAGTCCTCCATGACTCCTTAGACAATTTACATGCTAAAGGTTTACAAAACTCCTGAAATTATTAACATGGTGAGAGCTCTTGCAATCATAATGAAAATTAAAATGTTTAATTAAGCAAATACTAATGAATGTAAAAAACTCAGGTGTGGAAAAGCAATTATTTCATTTAAGTATAAATTTCATTTATTATACACAAATACTAATTACCTTCATCATAACTCTAGAAGCAAAGAGCCAATTTCACTTTTAGTAACCACAAACTGGCAAAGCATGGGATCTGATAACTCACCACTCTGAAAATCTTATAATGAATTTAACTCTTAGGCTACCAGAAGAAACTACTGATGCAATCAGGTGATATAACATGTAATCTGTTGCATAAACCCTACAAAAAACATTTTGTAAATCAAAGGAGAACTGACAAGTCTAAGCTTTGGTCTTACAACTTTCATAATACACAAAGATAATACCCTGGATGGTATGATGATAATCTGATTCACATATTCATAAGTTGATCAGGCAAAGTGTACAGTCACAGAATTAGAGAGATTGCCAGGTTCCAAAACTGAAATTACAAAGTTATTTCAATCAAAAAGCAAAAATACCCTACTGCTACTACTATTATTGAACCTTTTTTAAACAGTTGAGCCTTTTTACACCAACATTTAAACCAATAATTTCAAAGACCTTACATTTATATTTAAAAATCATTAAATCGCATTTTGGAAAACAATTTGCAAGTCTGCAAGTGCATCCAGGTTTAAATATTCACTTGGCCATGTCAATTACTGGTATCTTTATGAAGGAGCTGAAATAATCTTTCAAATGTTCTCCAGTGGGGGGAGGAAATAAAGGATACCCATAGTCATGCTCTCTGCAATTAACACTCTGCGTTCATTCAATGGTTATGTGCTGATTGACAAGAATAGCCCTTAAGAACTATGGGAAAGAATCATCTAAAGTAATTAAATTTAATTAGTGCACACACATTATACTAGTAGATTTTATAACAGAGAAAATGACTATATTGAAAATAATTATATTCAAGATATGGAATAAAAATACTATTTAAGTTCAGGAATGAAAAAGCTATTTAAACTTTGAATCGAAAATAATTTTAAAAACTCTTTAAGAGTAAATACACAAAAAAGTTGTTAAATCTAAAAACACTATGTTAAAAAGGTAGTGACTATGTTACATACTGATATTTCATTTGATTTACTGTAATGAAGAGAATGTGTTGTAAATTTGTGATTTGTATATGCCACCATCATTATCTCAGATCTGAAATTAGAATAAATGGAAATTTAAGAGTATTGTCCCAGAAGAGACAAACTTAGCATTGTTTTCAGTCCTTACCAAAAAAAAATCAAGAAAATCAACTAAAAAATTAATTGAATTTGAGTACATGAGGATGAATTATTAAAAATTAAATATACAAAAATCAGTATCACCTAAGTACTACCTATAGGCATTTAGCAAAAAAAGAGAAAAATCATACTTTCACATAGCAATAAAAATAAAATAAATTTGCAGAAATAAACTTCTTTGTATATACACAATGTTTATAAAGAGAAAAAACAGTATGTAGGAATGTGATAGAATTTGGAGAAAAAAATGAGACACATATGTTACTTCAAAAACTTATAACAAAGACGTCAGTTCCCCTTCAAACAAACCTATAAATTTAAGGCAATTCAAACTAAAATTTTCAATTTCTTTTAAAAATTTGAGAATAATAATCCTTAAGTTCATGTAAGATATAAACCAAAAAAGAAGCATAAGGACAGAGAACTTATTAACTATAGTTAAAATATACTGTAAAACATAGCTAAGAAAATTTAAGAACATTTTAGAGGGTCAGATCAGTGAAACAGAAAATAAGGAAAAGCAACAAATAACAATACATGAATCTGGCATGTCAAAGCAGTAGAGACTAGATAAACAGTTATCTCACATTTAATATAATATAATAGTTAACCAGTTATCTTACTCACATAATGCTGAGATAACTGGTTAACTATTTGGAAAGAAGGTTTGTGCCTTATCTCATGAAATACACCAAAATAAATTCCAAAAGGATTAAGGTATTAAACGTGAAAAGATGAAACTATAAAAGAGGTAGAAGAAAATATAAATATATAATTTCATAACCCTGGAGTAGAGTTGGCCTTCCTAAGCATTAAAGCAAGAAACAATGAAGGAAAAGATAGATTGGTTCTTCAAAAAATACATGATAGGCAACCCTCTTTTAGGTCCCCTCCCACTTAGGAGTTTTTTTGTCTTCTTAATAAACTGCTTTCTCAAAAAAAAAAAAAAAAAAAAAATGCATGATAACAGTGTTTGTTTGAGGGGAACAAAAGCACAGAAATAAAACTAGAGTGGTAAAAAGGAATTACGATCGCCAGGCTTGGTGGCTCAGCCTGTAATCCCAGCACTTTGGGAGGCTGAGGTCAGTGAATTGCCTGAGCCCACGGGTTCAAGACTCGCCTGGGCAACTTGGCGAGACCTCATCTCTACAATAAATCAAAAAATTAGCTGGGCATG